TAAATTATTTCATTCAAATATAATCACTAATAATTACTAATTTGTTATTGGAACAAATGTAGATGTCCCAAGGTCAAGTAAAATGATCTTCAGATTAAATGTGTAATGCTCATAACTATGACTAATATTATTTGGTTATCCAACATCGCATATGACTAATTTGTGTTGCTGCTCCAGGAACCAACGTTATTCAAAGTGTACAGATCGTATGAATGCGTAATTGTTGTGGTGGAATGTACGTTACTCTACACATGCTTAGAAATAGCAAATTCATATCGCAAATCTGCAAAAGTATCGACGTACGCGCGTGTTAGACGATTAAGTTACATTACTATCTTGTATACGTAACGTTACGTGTTCACGCACATGTTAGATGATTTAGATCAATATTCCGATTTCGATCCTTAATTCACTGAATCGAATTATTCAACATAAAACCTTTTTTTTATAAGAACACAATCAACCAAGGTTACTACTAAAACAAAACAAAAAGAAACAGAAAAGGATGATCTCCACACGAGAATCATATGAGGATGGGCGGACATTCCGTGAAAATTGCGAACATCTGAGAAAGATACGTGTATACAAAATTCAATGGAGTTCAATTTCCACAGCCGTTTAAGGCATTGTTTGTGGAAAATTATCGCGTGAAAGCATGATCAGGAAGTATTGTTAAAAAAAGCCGCAACACTAGAAATACTATGCAGAAAACTGAATATATATCTATGACTTGTAAACTGATGTTACACATTAACACATTAGAATGGTCATTTCAATGTCACATGATATTGTATATATATGTACACATGTATGTATTGTAAATATAACAAATCGTACAGTATACCCAAATTATCCTCGGTTCACCTGGGAAATGCACGGGGAAATGCAACTGCTTGCTGACACGTTCAATTGTATTGTTTTTTATTCACCCGAAACACTCACTCGATTCTAAGGGTTAGCAGATATCTGTGCTTTCATGAAATTTACTCAACTCCTACCATAACTGAGTTTGCATCTATTAATACATATTATCTGTCTGCCGACACTCGTATATGCATATTAATTAATTCCACAAAATGCACACTGGTACTGTTACTATCAATATTAATATATTACATCAAAGTAGGCAATGTAGATATAATATAAAGTTGATACATGAATGAATTATTTGTTATCAGAAAAAACTTTGTGAGATTTGTTCTATGTGTTATGATTTCGAATGTGATTATAAATGATTGTCATTTAATTCAGAGGTATGGCCAACAGCAGATTAATATACACGTTTGATATGTTTGATATTAAACATGTAAATATCTAGCACGTGTAAACTAAAAAGATGATACATTTTTACATGTTTTTCATGTTTCAAACTTTTACATTTATTGAACTGCACTTTTGACATGGACTGGGAAATGCTTGCATTTTTGAAATGCTCATTAAAATTTCAAACGTTCATTTCAAAAATGTAAAATCGCATTGTCTTGGCCGTTGATGTTAGCTTCACAATTTTCCCATTGTGGTTACCATCTAATTCATGTAACAGAAAACACATTCTTGCAGGACAAGTATTTGCATTCAAATACGGTTCATCTGTTCATGTTTTGAACAAAACATTTCTCGATTTGTTAACATTTTTACTGAAATGAAATTTCACTTTGTTTTCTTATAACAGTGTAATTCACGTCACGAAATGTTGTTTACAACTACTTTTTAGCAACGAATAATTTGTTTCACGATCATACGTGAACTATAATCGAGAAAACGACACTGAACGTACCCAGGACCTTATATAGGATTATGGAATCGGTTAGGCTACACACAGTCAGGTAACTCACGACCAAGTAGATGACTTCACATCTTCTTCAAGCAAATGTCAGTGGTATATTCATAATTTATAGCTGTTGGAGCGTAGAAGCTTCATTTTCCCCTTTTCCAGTTAAGGTACCAAGCTAGATCATGCATGTGCACTGAGGACCAAAAGTCGTCGCTAATCATATTCTATACAGCAATTCCAAATATCATGGATGGGTATTCAAATAGCATAGGACTGTACCATCTATAGTACAGGGTTTCAACTAGTAATGAAAGAACACATAATTGTATGTCACGAGTAATTACGGATAATTATATCAAAATGTATTTATAGCGTTACATGCACGATTATCTTATCGATATTTCCCTATTCTCAAAATAATACCTTTTTTATATTTTAACAGCCGTAAAATGACATTTTGAGGTAACGGAAACACTGGGCACTAAATTCGACTAAGGCAATATATGCTTCCATATTTGATAGCAAATGTGTGTGTGTTCATCAATTAAGTTATTTGGGGTTTAGGGTGGGTAGGCATGTGCTATTACAATATATATATATATATATATATTCACAGGTATCATATGCTCAATAGTTGTTGTCGATAATGTTCCAGTAATTGCTTTTACAAACGTTTAAAACCCTATACACTCCGTAAAATATAAGTCGTTGACGCGAGATAGAGGTTTGGATTTTATTTTATATTGTTTATTTAGGTGCTTACAATTTGGTAGGCATAATAATTCAGAATTTACTATACATATAATTTTCAATGAATTTGATGCTATGGTTAAGTAGCGTCTGATGTACAATTACCTCTATAGCTTTAGACAACCCATATTCTGCTTAAAATTCAGTGGGCATTAAAATTCATTGGTACAGATAACATGTTAATCAAGTTTTTTGTGACATTACACAAATGTAGGTACATATGCTGCTAACTTCAATAACTGAATATGTATATGCTGCTAACTTCAATAACTGAATATGTATATGCTGCTAACTTCAATAACTGAACATGTATATGCTGCTAACTTCAATAACTGAACATGTATATGCTGCTAACTTCAATAACTGAATATGTATATGCTGCTAACTTCAATAACTGAACATGTATATGCTGCTAACTTCAATAACTGAACATGTATATGCTGCTAATTTCGATAACTGAATATGCATATGTTGCTAACTTCAATAACTGAATATGTATATGCTGCTAACTTAAATAACTGAATATGCAATGCTGCTAACTTCAACAATTGAATATGCAAATCCTTCTAACTCCAATAACTGAATATGCATATGCTGCTAACTTCAATAACTGAATATGCATATGCTGCTAACTTCAATAACTGAATATCCACATGTTGCTAACTTCAATAATTGAATATACATATACTGCTAACTTCAATTACTGAATATGCATATGCTGCTAACTTCAATATCTGAATATGTATATGCTGCTAACTTCAATAACTGAATATGCAAATGCTGCTAATTTCAATAACTGAATTTGTATATGCTGCTAACATCAATAACTGAATATATATATATGCTGCTAACTTTAACAATTGAATATGCAAATGCTGCCATCTTCAATAACTGAACATGTATATGCTGCTAATTTCAATACCTGAATATGTATATGCTGCTAACTTCAATAACTGAATATGTATATGCTGCTAACTTAAATAACTGAATATGCAATGCTGCTAACTTCAACAATTGCATATGCAAATGCTTCTAACTCCAATAACTGAATATGCATATGCTGCTAACTTCAATAACTGAATATCCACATGTTGCTAACTTCAATAATTGAATATGCATATACTGCTAACTTCAATAACGAACCAGTTGAGCAAGGCTAACCGAGTCGTGACCTCGATGTGGTTCGTAACCAGTCTTGTGATTGGTTGTTGACAAATGCTGAACAGGCCACGCCTCCAACTGTGCCATGCGTTCGGGCAAACCGTTATTAATTCCTAAATGGAGTAAATTTGTGCAGTTTTCTTGATTTATTCTGCAGATATCGGTAAAATGCAGGTAAGGCTTTAGCGAAATTCGAAGGAGCAACTAATATTTTTCAACCTGGTATTTTTTTTATATTTTATTTTTCATTTCATGTTCGTATTGATTTGCCCGTCTATTTAGGCGAGTATACGGGGTGGGCTGAATTTTGGGATATGTTCAATGCTGCTGTAGGTTTAAATCCACAACTTAGTCCTATAATCAAATTTGCTTATTTGAAAAGGTCGTTAGAGGGGGAGGCTCTAGAAGTAATAACCGACTTAGATCTCACTATAGTAAATTACAGTTTGGCACTCCAGCTTCTGACCGAACGATTCGGCCAGCCACATCAAATTATCGCTGCTCACATGCGTGCATTACGCACAGCAGACGCACCCAATTATGATGCCAATTTTTTACGGAAATATCATGATACCCTGGAAAAGCACATCAGAGCACTTCTTTTATTAGGTGTACCAGAGGCGGGCTATGAGAAACTCCTCATACCCATGATACTGGATACATTCCCAGTTCAATTTCAACAAAGTTTAGCGCGATCCAACCCAAGCGGGGAATGGACATTAGTCACACTCAGTCAGCACATGTACACGAGGTTAAAATCCTCGCCATAGGTCAGGTAGATTACGACACAAACCCTTCAGCAATACATGCTTTCACCCAGAGTACACATGACTCAACACAGTTCAAGTCCAAACGATATGGGCGTCGTAATTACAATAATACTGACAAATCTTACAGTGGTACCTCTGATCAACAGAAACAAAACCATGGCACACAAACTGATGACACTGATGGGAGAACACAAATTGGGGACAGAACCCCACATTGCATATATTGCAAAGGCAAGCATTACACCACAAATTGTACAAATATTTCAACTAGGAAGGATCGAGTCGAATTTATTACCCAAAATAAACGATGCTTTAATTGTTTGGGAAAGCACATGTTGTCTCAATGTAAGTCGCATTTCACTTGCCGTGTTTGTAAGAGTAAACATCATACGTCAATTCATTTTGATAAATCTGGAACTGCGCAAACAAATTCAACGAATTCTAGCACGGCAAACTCGCATTTTTCACATTCAGCAAATACTGGTGAACAATCGCGTTTTACCGGGAGTGACTCAAAAATTAACTCTGACAGTCCGCGACGCGCAATGCTTCAAACCGCACGAGTTAGTACGCATTTTCGAGGTACTAACTGTGTTGCTACCCTCCTATTTGACAATGGCAGTGATAGAAGCTTTGTCACAAACTCTTTCGCACGTAAACTAGGTGTAATCCCAAATTATAACGAATTATTGAGTCTGAATTCGTTCTCCAATCCGCGTTCCGGTGTGCAGTCCATACCGAGAACCACGCTGTCACTACAAAGCAAAGATGGCATTAAATCCCCGATCGATGTACTGATGGTCGACTGTATTTCCGAGGGATTGGAGAACACTGTAACTTACGATATTGCACGTTTGCCACATTTGAGAGGTCTATCGTTGGCCTATCCGCCGTCAAATCGATCCACATTAAACATCGATATTTTGATAGGCGCCGATCACTATTGGGATTTTGTTACACACAACTCACGCATAGTTAGGGGCAAACCAAACGCTATACCGACTGTCTTTGGGTACCTATTGTCAGGGCCTTTCACTACACACAACAGGACAAACAAAACAAATTCATTCACCATTGCTTCTATCCGAGCACATGACAGTGTAATGGATAAAATGATTGCTAGTTACTGGGACCTGGAGTCAGTGGGTGTTAAAGATACGATTACAAGACAGCAGGCACTCAACATTACACATGAACAACAATACAAAGAATATACCGACAAATGTTTAACGGTGGAAAATAATCAGTTTGTCGCAAAATTGCCGTGGAAAGTAAATCACCCAATTTTACCCACAAATTTCAAATCAGCAGAAGTGCGAACACGCAGTATGATTCGAAAATTAGAACCAGATTCACTGAAAATATATGATAGAATTCTTTCTGAACAGCTCAAAAGCGACTTTATTGAATTGGTTCCCAATGACGATACAACCATTGGTCATTATTTGCCTCATCGGTCCGTCAAAAAGGACTCTGAATCAACACCGATTCGCCTTGTATATGACGCTTCTGCGACCACTAATAAAAACCATCCTAGTTTGAATCAATGTTTGGAGACGGGTCCCCCTTTGCTCAATTCACTGACTGAGATTCTGATAAGATTCAGGGCTAATTCAATCGCGCTGGTTGCAGATATTGAAAAAGCCTTTCTGATGATACGTCTGTCTGAAAGTGACAGAAAGTTCACAAAGTTTCTTTGGCTCAGCAATCCATCCGATATTGAAAGTAGCTTTGTGGCTTATCAATTTAAGTCAGTATTATTTGGGGCCACATGTAGCCCATATATTTTGAATGTGGCCATTCGAGCACTTACAAATGAATACAAAGATAATCCAATTGCACTTCAGCTGCAAAGGGATATTTACGTCGATGACGTAATATCAGGTTGTGATAATGAAGCACAGGCTTATTCCTTCTATGAAACGTCCACTTCGATTCTAGCAACACGAAGTTTTAACCTCCGTCAGTGGAATACTAATAACAAATATATCCACGACATAATGACAGAGGAAAACAAAGCAAATGACAAAACTAGTGTGAGCGTTCTAGGATTGAGGTGGAATACTATTTCGGACCAACTCTCAATCAAAACCCCCGATAAGCCAAAATTTGGTCCTCAAACTTCAAAGAGAGATGTCGTTGCTTATAGCGCGACAGTTTACGATCCCATTGGTATGTTTGCTCCTATCGTCGTGAAAGCTAAGCTCATTATCCAATCACTTTGGTTAAAAGATCACCATTGGGATCAACCCATTGATTCTGACACACTTGATAAGTGGAATGATGTAGCTATAGATTTATACAATATTAAAAACATTGTAATTCCGCGGTGTTATTTTTCAAAACCTACTCAGAAAGTAGAAATTCATGCATTTGCGGATGCAAGTTCTGTAGCTTATGGGGCCGCTATCTATCTTTTAAGTGAACATAACGAGACTTGTTTAGTTATGGCTAAATCTAGAGTAGCACCAATAAATAGTCAACTTCTGACCTTGCCTAGACTTGAGTTGATGGGAACGCTCATCGCTACGAGATTGTCGAAATACGTGTCAGAAGCTCTCGAAACCAAATTCTGCGTTACCGCGCACACACTCTGGTCGGATAACCAGGCAGTTTTGCATTGGTTACATGGCAACGGAAAACAAGACATATTCACCAAAAACAGAGTTTCGGAAATTTTGGAATTTTCACAAAGTTTGAGATATGTCAACACCGCTGATAATCCCGCAGATTTAGTCACGAGGGGGGTCCAACCCGAAACATTATCGAATTCGGATTTTTGGTGGTCAGGTCCAAGTTGGTTGTCAAATCGTGATAAATGGCCTGGAAAAATCGAATTTGGTAAAATCATCGTGAATAATGACTCAGAGTCAGAAGTGAGAAAATCCAAAATTGAAAATAATATTTCGACCCCAAAAGTGTCCGAGAAATGTGCCCAGTGTCCGACCACTGGTACGAGTGACATCGTTAGCGATCGACCGCTACTTTGTACGCCCCCAAGTCAATCCAGAGGACATGTCAATTCGGAGAACGAAATTAGTCCTCATTTCCATAAATCAGCAGAAGATTTCATAAAAACTGCTGAAACAGTGTCAGGAGATATCATCAATACAAACCGCGAACCTCCTGAGCTACAAAACTCCAAAATTAATGATCAGATCGTTTCGTTACATGTCGCCTCTGAATCTGACAATTTACTCGGCCACCATTTTGAACTTCACAATGAGCCAAACATCGCACCGAAGGAGATTATTCACGCAACTGAATCAAACTCAGAACCTAGTCTTGAAAAGATTATCGATATTCGCCGTTTCAACGATCTACATCGTCTGTTGAAAGCAACTGCTTATATATTTCGTTTCATTTCGAAACTCAAATCCAAATTGAAACCACACTCCCGAGTA